AGATGTACATGGCAATACACTCGCAGTTGTCCAAGAGGAGAAACAAAATAGCGTTTGTAAGCAAACGAAATTGTAGATAGTGCCTGAGGAGGAGACTGAAAAATGCTATTTTAGCACGATCAAAAATAAACTTCATGAGAACACAGCTGCAACCGATAAGAGGCCATGCTAGAGCACCGTTATGTTCAGAAAAGTTTGAAAGCTTAGATCTCTTTTCGTTGTGCTTGATCTAATTGAAGAGAAAATCGCCTGTTCATATTACCACGACGTAACACAGCGACCTGATTACGTAATCAAAACAGCGTACAAAGTTGGAGTTCTCTAGTGCTCATTGCCAAACTCATGACTCATCCCCCTTTCTGTTTGACCCTGTTTAAATTGTTTCACGAAAATTTGATTGTAAAGCTTTGAAACGTAATTCACAGAAAACATATATTAGCCTACAGTATGTGTTCTTAATTTAAACTTTCTTTGGCTTGTGCCGCAAGTCCTGCGATCAGAAATGAATAGAACTGAGTATATGCATAGATGCATTCAACAGATATGGGCGTTTGGCCACGACCATATTGTTGAACGATATTGTACTACTGAAGTCTCATTCTACACCTATTCATGTCACACGGAAGTCCTATCTGATTTTATCTACCCACAAATTAGGATTGGAATGCTACCATAATTCATTTAAGTTTTAAAAAAAAACAGAAAATGACCACAAAGGTCGAATTATTTGGAGAAGTTCATCTACTATTACATGGCAGCCTCAACACTGCTAATAGCTTGCAAATGGATACAAACATTATACATGCATTGCTGAGGTATGTACACGAAGCATGAGGCTCCCTGGATGGGGCACTCAGAATCATTATAATAAAGGTAGAGAAATTAAGTGACATAACTGAGTGTCAAAGAATACTCGAGCATTTTCTCTATTTCTTCCAAACATTGGTCTAATGAGATTCCCAATGTTTTCGTTGACTCTGCTTTCAAATTTCTTGTCTTCCTCCCACTGCTTCATCCAAATGGGTAGGCAAAAGACGGTAACCAAAATCGACGCATGAAATTGTATAGTTAACTGAAACTGTATGCGGAGCTGTGTACAGAAGAAATCTTTCGTCAGTAGGTATTATGTAATACACATAACACACAAAATATATTATTTTAGAGTAAAAATGTAATGAGATTTATCTTTCAAAAACAACTTCACAGATCAACAAACCAAACGGAATTCCATATTTGTCACCCTGATAGTTGACGCTAACAGACATCGAAGCATCATAGTTTCGACTTCCAGTATTATCATTATTTCTTTTTATTTATCAGATATGTAGTGAACTGTTTGTTTGGCAAACAATCGGGACTCAGACCTGTGAAAAATCATATATAATACGTCTGACTTCTGAACAATAACTGGGATTTAACACTACGGAAAACAAAAATAGATATCATCAGAACAAAATACAGAAGAAATGAAAGGAATCAGACATCCAAATTAGACTAGATCAAACAGACAGCTGTAATAATTTTTGTATTCTTTCAGTCTTCACAAGAGTGCTCGATGGTTTTTTTTTAGTACAGTAAAATGAAGCGATCATTGAGCATCAGACCGAATTGGTCAAATAAAAAGGTACCATATAATCCTAACCTTCCTCTCGGATTTAATATCATAGTGAAGACATAGTATGGTTGTTCGTTTGAATTGTGTGTACGGTACTCTGTATATATAAGATTGATCAAAATCTTGAGGATATTCTCACAAGCCTGTTTCTTACAGGCAGTTGGCCGAACAAGGTTGGTCAAACATCGCTTCAAGTGAGACAGCTGTGCAAAATCCGTTTTCATGATCACACTACTGACGATTTACTTAGTAAAATAGACTTGCCCTTGAAAATTGTAACTTGATCTGTCATCGGAAAATGGAGCAAAAGCAAGGTTCCGGTGCGAATCAAGGTTTGCCCAACTCCTAATGCAAGAGATTATCTGAACTATACGACAACCCACTACTAAATCAACAGCAAATAGTGTATAGTGGTGACGTTGGTAGTGGTTGGTGTGCCTGATTTTGCGGATGATGAGGTAATGTTTTAATCACAGATTTTGTGAGCACAAGAAATTATCCGTTAACTTCTGGAAAAGTGAGAAAATGGCATATATTGGATGAAAGACGCACGAGTTAAAAATATGATGACACTAGTCATTTGCAAACACAAGTTCTACGTAATCGGCATCCATCCAGACGGATTGTGAGCTTCTCGAGTAAATGTTTTTCAGGGGGGTTCTTCGGGAGTCAACGAGGTTTCTTGGTCATAAAAGATGATATGACTGAAAGATGGACTGGATGAAATAGATTATTTCCTTGATTTTTCTCTTTCAACAAAGCTAAAATACATACATTTTATAAAACTTGCCTTATGTATAAGGGTGTATTAAGAAGTACTCTCTCGATTTTCTATTGTCATTGTTTGTTGTGCACATTCATTTGTTTTTGTACATATTGTAGAATAGTATCTACTTTTTTATTCTCCAGATGACCCGAACTCCAGTCGGAGTAATGCGGATGAAGTAGGCGTTAGACGAAGTAGTGTAGACGATGACGGGCATGATGTAATAGACGAAGAAGCCAAGAAAGAAATCTATCTGGAGCCTGATGACGAGTTTCTTGGCTTTACAACTAATCCGGAAGTCGAAGGTGCCGAGTACCTGGAGACGTTGGAGGATGCACCAAAGCCGGAATTACCCGTCGTTTTGACGTCGATCGCGGACATGATTCGCGAACGTATCTACCTCACAGATTACGATCCAAGTCAGCACTGGACCGAAAACCACAGTAATGTGGTTGAGACAGATTTCGCATCTGGGGATAGACCCCAACTGTTTTTCTATATGTCTCGTAAAGGTGAACTGAAAGTAGAGTACGATGTGCCAAAACAATTTCATAATGAATTGAACTATTTCATACATATACCCGATCCAAATAAGGGAAAGCTTACAGCAGAAAACTTTGACATGCGCGTGCAATACGGTAGTTTATCCGGACGAGGAATTGAAAGTCTTCTAAGGATCATGTCGACTATCTTTGCACCAGCCTTCTTCTCCAACACAACTTGGCCGGATAGTATACGGAATGATTTTGCTTTGCAATTGCAACGGTTTATGTCTGCCCTGACAGATGCTCGATGGAAACTGGAGAATAAAACAGTCCTTTACCTACCGAATGAGAATCTAGATCAACGTGCTGAAATCGCAGCAAAGAATAAGGATTTGGTTAACCGATTTGAAATGATTGTCATTCACTGGACTCGTCAAATCAAGACTGTGCTCAATTCACAAAACACCACAGATGAAATTGAAGGTACTGGACCGTTGGAAGAAATTGAATTTTGGCGCAACCGTTGCGAGGACTTGACTGGTATAAGTCGTCAGTTGGACAAACCGGCTGTCAAACACATCACTGACATCCTGACCGATGCAAAATCGTCCTATGTGGCCGCGTTTATCCGTCTGGCCGATGAAATCAAATTCAACACACAACAAGCACAAAATAATTTAAAATTTTTGAACACTTTGAAGGAGTTGTGTCATCAGTTGAGTGAGTCCTCGCCAAAAGACATTCCACCGAAATTGCCTCGACTGATCAACATGATCCGAATGATCTGGGTCAATTCGAAGTATTATAATTCCAAGGAAATTATCACCGGCATGTTTCGAAAACTGTCCAATGAGATTATCAATCGATGTTGCAGTGTTATCTCACTGGATGATATATTCGAAGGCAAAGTGATTTCCAGTTCGATCAATTTACAGTACTGTATCAATTGTTGTGAACAGTATAAGGCTATCTATGAGAGATTGCAACAAATGCATTCGCGTAATTCTCACGTGCCGTGGGACGCGCAGAAAAATAGCATATTTGCCCAGGTGGATGCATTCATTCAACGATGTCGGGATTTACTTGAGGTAAGAATGTTATATTAACATATTGAATATAACAAAGGAATATAAATGAGGTTATACAGAATAAATAACATGTGATATACTCGCCTGTATATGACTCACCACAAAAGAACTTGTTTACTACTGTTTTTATTACAATGTACAATGACAGACAAGAACACCATGGATTTTTTTCAATTTAAGATATCCGAATGTCAATTCAAGACGTCATATTGCTATGTTGATAGTACGATAATCTGATTGCTCCATCGTTTCACATTGTCTTGTACTCTTTGTGATCATCTTGTTGTCATGTGCAGTTCGCTTTAGGTATTCTTGTCAATGATCGAGGATGAATGTTTAATGTGGGGTGAAGTGGGATGGAATGGGCTGTTCTCCCTCACCGTTATGTCTGTGATCGTAGATCAAGTGTGCGTCAGTGACGCGAATGAATGAACCCGGCGGTAATTAACCTCTGTGTTCGGGTAAAGAAGCGAATCACTCCAAGATGTATCGGTAAATCGGTCACCATTCCCAGACGTGAATGTTGGGATGAAGCATTTCATAGGTGGATTCAGTCTAGGCCCTCAATATCCTAGTGAGTAAATTCCAGTGGGGCCGTGATTCCCTCAAATGACACCGACTCCTTTGAATCGAATGCGATTACCTACCTATTTCTGATATTGAAAGGCATACTTGACAGGGTATTTAACAATGCTACATGGCTAAAGTGAAAGAATTATCCCTATTTCATCGGACTAGTAAGATCGCATTCGAACCAACTCACTGGCTAAATGGAATCGAATTTTTCTGACATTCCCGGGATGACTATGACATTTAATCCACAATGCCAGTGGCAACAATCTTTCACCTGCAACTTCTACCTTTACCGCTCAGCTTCATCGCATATGTTCTTATCCCCATTGTTTCATTGATCAACCCTTCGCATCTTTTCACATCTTGACTGCATGAGTTCGATCCTGATAGTTTAGTGAATGAGACAGTTGGCGATAAGAATGAGTTCCAGTTATCCATGATCCCACAAATGACAATCGCTCTGTACTGGGTGCTCCATGGGGTATTAGGTTGAGATGGGTTAAGTATTCTATTCACGGTTACCTTACCATTGATCAGCAATTTCCTTCTGTTTGAAGAACAGTTGCCTGTAATGACGAATTCATGAAGAAACCGGGAATTATGTGACAAAGTGGTATCCACGGTTCTACTGAATGTTAAGTAAGGGAAGAGGTGTAGTGATATTAGTACACAGATAAATTGGCATATTTTTATTTTAGTGGATTGGAACGGTTGATTTGTTCGCACGATTCCCGAAAACTCAAATTTGATGCTATCGAATCACGACAAATGGATAGGTCAAAGCAAGGTAAAAATGTGCAAACTGGCCATGATATGAAAGGTTTTAGTCAAGAATGAATAAAACAAGTGTGAAAATGTAAAAAAGGTATTAGATGAGGAAAGGGGGAGAAAGTAAAAGGTGTCATATAGGAATATAGGGCAATTGCTCTTACGGTCATGGCAGCAACAAGGTTTCCGCTTTGTTGCTAACTGTTATGGAACAATACCTAATGATCTGTTCTTGCTATACCCAGGTGATTCACTAAGCCGGCAACCTATTGTTGAGAAAAAGTATCATCACAAAAAGTAAAAGACAATGTGAAATGATGGAGCAATCAGACTATCGTACTATTAAAATAGCAACATGACATCTTAACTTGACATTCGGACAACTTAAATTGAAAATGGTATGGATTTGACCTCTATATCTCTACAGCGTTTTTCGCCACCAAAATATTTCGACCCAATGACCGTTTTTTAAGCAAAACTTTCTCGATATTAAGTTCAAATGAAAATACCATATTGCAATACAGCACGATTTATTTCCAGGACGATTTTGCTGCATCCCAACATGGTGTGTACTGCAGAAAATGCAATATTTAATTAGGTCTTTTGCATGGCAACAAAGTAAAGTAAGAAGCATTAAATCACAAAACTTGAAAAGGAGGAAGGGGTTTGCACTCAGTTTCCACAGGTACCATAATGGGCCGTTCACTCATTAATTTACTATACAAATGGATTTTAAGAGATTTGGGCAACCACCACCAAAGCTTTTTTGAAGTCCATTCTGACATTCATTTGATTGATGACTTACTTTATATAGCACCTCGATAGACTAAGAGACAATGACAAGGTATCTGTTTTCTATGAAAGCGTCCGTAGAAAACAAATAAAATATCCGGAAATAAAAATAAACAGTTTATCCCTCACTCTCATTTTTATAATACCAATCTGTGCAGCCTGATTGCTCACTTGATTCGAGCGTAATCTCTTCCCGAAATACTCTGTGCTCTATGATGCAGTGTGAAGCTTAGAAATCCTACTCTAATGTCCATGTGTACCATTAAATAAAAATGAATCAGGTTGCCATTAGTTAAACCATTACGATGGTCTGGATCACAAAATCAGCTCTACTGAACAAGAGTTATGCAGGTTCAAAGACGGTGTTGTTCTAATCCTCTGTTATCACTTCCGCAGATTTGTGAATGCCAACGAAATTTCGGTCGTTTCGAGGAGGGAACCAAGACAACCATGCCCATTTTCCAAGGTGCTCGAGGGTCAGAAATTGAAATTCTACTCAACACGATAGAACAGATGTTTAGCAAATTGATGCGGCACTTGTATGAAAAACGAAACTTTATTCTGGATGTGAAGGCCACCTCATGGCACGATGATTACAACCGGTTCAGAGTCGGAATCAAAGACTTAGAAGTGATGATGCAGAACGCTATCAATACAGCTTTTGAAACTGTGACCAATATTCAACAGGGTGTTGAAATTCTGGACGTATTTGCCCACTTACAAACCCGAGAAGTAAGTCGTTTGTGTGCCAGATTTATAACCGGCATTGTGCATTGAAACGGCTAGCTAAGCGAATGAATCTGGATATCCGCTTCCTCCCGTAATGGAAAACATTATTTTCATCAAACCATTTCGGTTCACAAAGGCCGTTTATTAGAATTTCAGTAATATCGTGATTAAAAACAGAATAAACGAATTGCTGAATACACTTTTTAATCATCTTTAGTATGGTATGAGATGTATGTTCCTATATTCACCGTCTTCCTCAAAATAGTTGATAGATCCGTTATAGATCAATACTCCATGGAATTATTGTAAACTCCTACCCATAACATGAACGGCAATATATCGTTAGTGCGGTAATACTTTAATTACTTGATGGCCAGTCTGCTCATCAAAGTTCACACAAAATTAACAGATTCTGGAGGGAGGGAGAGAAAAAAGCACCAGAGAACATTTTGTTTAAATATAGTTTTCCAATCCTGGTTATGCAATTTTCGGAAGAACAATTATTGACTGTTTAAATAGCTAACTACAATGGAGTAAGGAATTCCACCGGGCAACTCTCCCGAAAGTGGAATTTCTGAGGACGTTTTTACACCCGTACTGAACGTTCTATTGTTATTCATGCGTGCATCGCACCGATTTGAGATTGGTGTTATCTTCGGTGACCGCAATTGGTTTGTACTGTTTCAAACACGAGGATGAAGTCGACCTGATCATTTATATATATTATATGGCCTAAATCTGATCCATGGTTGGAGACACTGGATGATATGTATAAACGCCGTTGAGAAAGTATTATTACCTTATTTACCATTTACGCTTATCTAATTTACGTATACTTCATACCTCTGCCTTGATATCCCTCCTAGTGTTTTGCTTTTACATCATTGTTCGTCCAAATACTTAGCCAATAGAGAACAACGAAAGGCGGGATGTCAAAATACAAACCAAGTGTTTGTGCTAAACTATGAAACGAGTACCACAATCCCACAGTAGCCGATGATAGAAAAGCTCGAATAAAAGACACTCGTGTGTGTTATTGAGACTTTGTTGATAAAGAAAACATTCCTTATTAAGAAGATCGTGTTTCGTAAGATTTCAATAAATTGCTCATTTAAATTAAATCTTGTGATTGTTGATAAACTATGCCTGCACAAACACTGAGATGAACTATTTCTAATTTAAGAGAGCAATAATGCAAAATGCGCTGGGGTCTGATTCGCGTTGGCTCCTATTTCTATTTCACCAGTGGCACATATTCGCTGTCTGGATTGTCCGGTTAGGTGCATGACAACCTCTACCCATCTAACTAGATTCATTTTTGTTTTTGAAATAAAATGTAACATACAGACCGTATTCGTTTGGAGCAAAACGCACCGGTGAGTTCTCTTCTTCCATCGAAGTTGAATTCTGATACTAGAACCTGTGCGTACACAGATCTCAATGCTCCACAAACGATCTACTTGATGTCTTTTCTAACCAATAGCCAGCTGAAGCCATGCAACTTCCAAGCTTGGAGCTCAGATAGGCCCTTTTGAAAAAAATCAGCTGGTTCACACATCTTTATGAATTTGTAAAGCAAAAAGTCACAATCCAGAACATTAGTTTCGCCTCAGTAAAATTCAAAATCCAGTTTGAGTTTTGCTATTTCGAATCAAATGATGACATTGCAAATAATAGTTTCTACTAAATCAGGGATGCATTTGAAAAGCCATCCTGACTATACCCAACTTATGAAATCAGTGTTATTTGAAACGGTTCTCGAAACATACCTGAAACCAAGAATGCATAATTCAACTCGGATTTGTTTCGTTCTATTCGGTTCTAGGCAATTCGACGAACTATCGACAACAAAACGCATGAACTGGTTTCCCGTTTCGGTGATTGCTTAAATCAAGTGAAGAAGGAAATGACACAACGAATTTATGCTGGATTACCCATACCGACTGAAGCGCACTTTAGTGGACAAGGTCTATATTGGCGGTTCCTAAGACGTCGTCTGGAGAGAGCAATGCAGGTAAGTCAAACACTATTGTATGAGAGTCAACTTTGGCCAAGACCCTTAATCGCATTGGATGCATTTTCTCATTCACCAACTGCATATTTTGTGCGAAACTCAATCTATGCTATGCTCTGAGCACCAGACCGCTGAGTAAGGAGATCCTCAAGCACAGAATGTGACACGAATAGTTGTCAGTGTTTTGGGATCCAGAAGAATCAGTTGAACTTCCCGTATCATTATGCAACTGTATGTTGTTCAACACCATTTTTGATTTCATTTTACCAACTCATTGGATTCATCAAGCTTTCCATATCTGTGTAGAGGGCATCCGGTTGAGCGATAATATCGTGACTGTTCTTTTCACGCTTACTGACGAAAATAACCCTCATCAATCCATTATTGAACCAATCATGATCACATTTACAGCTGCAAGTGAATCCACCGATTGTGTTGTACTTTGACCTCGCCGTGCGAGTGACGCCTACAGCGTCACATCATTCACATATTCATGCAAGTGCCAACCCATACAAAATCAAGTTACTTTCCGACACATAAATTCAGTTACTCCATGAATATCGGTTTGCCTTGAAGGTACAGTTAAAATGCTCTTTTGACTTTAGTCAAACCCAAGGCCCCTAAGGCTTCTGGAGATTGAAGATTACACGATGATATTGATTTTGACTGATCACCCTTCACCCTTCAAATAAGCNCCCAACTTTCACTCTAAATGTCGATAATCAGTTAGGTGTATCCATCAACCAACTGAGTGTTTGAACACTGCACTCGAAATATGCAAGGTGGCTGTGTACTACTACTGAGGCCACCAATTCACCAGTGGGTTCATCAATCTCATTGACAAAATGGAAGAATCATCTGATATCATTTCCCAAACGTAACGAAAGTACTGAGCAGATCCACACGCGTCACCGGCCTAGCCACTTGTTGCCGGAAAAGCTGCAATCGGGTCTCACCCTCCTCCAAATAAACAGTCAAAACTGAGGTATTTTGTCATGACAAGTTGTGTGTCATAAAATCACAGTTTTCCATTTCGTCTGTTCGCCGAACTTGGAATTTGTTTGCAAACGTTTCATCACCAGCCGAGGTGACATCATCAGTGCTTGTGAAGTGGATGATGTCACCTCGGCTGGTGATGAAACGTTTGCAACCAAATTTCCAAGCTCGGCGAACTAGCGAAATGGAATTCAGTTCACCCGAGCTACGAGAACCGATTTTCACCATTTTGCCAAATCACAGTTTATCATTGATCTAGAAAGCTGGATCCTAATTCTATAGGACAGTCAGACCGAAATGCTTTGCAATATCAAACATCCATTAAGTGGAAGCAGCGAGGCGATGTGATCCCGTTAGCTGATCTAATTTTAAGCTACACTTTTTCCCATCAAGCTTTAGCCAAGACCCGTAGTCCTTTAGCCTCCACGCACAGACTTTAGTCACGCCGCAAGAGACAGATCAGATCAAAAAGNNAGTATGGGAACATTCTGAAGTATTCTGTAGTTAACACGGTAACTTGACGGAAAAGGCAACTGGGTAAGGTAGGTTGATGTATGCTCATGAAATATTTTTTCAGGGGGATCCAAGGTCCCTTATTTGGTGCATAATGGAGTTCATAGTCATTTGAACGCAATCGGAAATTTTCTGAATATACCATCATTGCATTGTAAGAAAAAACAGTAGCGAA